CAAGAAAGCAAAAATATATGGGGCATCTTCTAAAAGGAAACAAAACAAAACCCCCTCAAAATGGCTTAAAATCTCAATCTTATACTGGCACTTATACTTAGGGAAAGAAAACAGTTTATATAGATGAAAGAAAGTTTCTTGTAAAGGCCCTCTGTTTGTAGATTGGCTGAGCTGCCTTGATCCCTTTCACTGCCCTTTAACAAAAGAACAAAAAACAATTGAATCAGCACTAGGTGAAGGTGACCGTAATTAATGCATGATTTGATTATAAGATTTAGCAAATAATCTGTCATATGCTTTTATAAAATCCTTTCATTTGTGATCTTTTAATTCTATACTCTTAATATTTTAATCAATATTAGTTTGTGTCTAGTAAAAATTGATTTTGAGTATAACTAAACCACTTGTCACTGTATAATTGCATGTGCTGTTAACTGTGGAGTTCCTGGCTTCAGCCAGGTGATTGCAGGTTTCAATGAGTAATGGTTTGCTAGAAATGTTTTCTTTGAAATAGAAAAATCTTTTTTAGGATTGTTTCTTGCATTTTCATAACCATGATGTAATGAAAAATGAAACAATTGGATGTCGTGCAAAAGCTTGTGATGATGTGTGTATAAATAAAGAAGGCAACTTTTCTGAGTTGTCCATATGAGCATCATGTCATAGTGGTCCGTGTCTTATCTCTTCCTATCATCTCACCGATCCACGCATCCTTTGCAAGCTCTCAGTCAGCTGGAGCTGGTCTCTGGCATTGTGCTTTGTTAACTTTGTGTTTTGTAAATAAGACACTAAACAAATGATTGACAAATGAAACTCTAGAACTTCTTAAGATTTTTAAAGTGGAGGTTTTAAAAGTACACTGCAGTTGTAAGATACAGTTCCTTTAGATTTCAATAACTCTCTGCTTAACTATAAAGATATAAAATGAAATTTTTATTACTTTTCATAGTGTTAAACTTACCTGTGCTTTTTCCATACCCTCTTACACAGTTAGTAAGGTTATGTGTTTATTTGGTTAGATTTGTTGGCCAATGTGTATTCTTTCCAGGTGGAAGTTCTAACACACTGTGCATGACTTGCCATGCTGGCTTTTCCCCACTAACTTTAGAATAGTAATATATAATGGTAGCTACTTTTTAATGGTAGCTATTTTGTCACCAGAGCAACAAAGAGTAAGCAGAACTCCCCTTCTGAGTTGGTAGGAGTGACAGCTGAGATATAAATCTTTATGTGGCTTATTGTCCAAGAATTTGGGAGTTTGTTGCCATCAGAAGATATACTGAAGCTGTCCTGAATGATACACTCAAACTGCAGGATTTGGGGGACTATTAAATTTCTGTTTAAATTATGATGTGCCTACATAAAGGCAGGCATAGGCAAAAGGAGAATACCTACATCACAGAAGAGTGGCCATGCAGGATGGTGAAGGGTAACACCAGAAAGTGAATAAAAATTCTTCCCACCTAATAGCAGATAAAGATAGGGGTTCAGGTTCAAGACTTCCAAGTTTTAGATGACAATACTACAAATAACCACTCAACGTATTTTGGTCCAAGTTTATTATAAAATTATTTCTTGACACTGCAAGCTAGTCAGAATACTAAAGTTTCATGAGTTGCATATTCATGCAAGCAGCAAAATATACAAATCACTGTTTAACCTATTTACAATCCAAGCACAAAGAGCACAAAATACATTTATTCACATAACAAAAGCAAGTATATTTTGTCTACTATTGACATGTAGGAGAAACAAGGTACCTACGGTTAATATCATATTGGTGTCAGAAAGAATATTCTGCAACTAACACACAGATGAAGAAGTAAGAAAATGAACATTTTCTTGCTTTATATTCTGACCCTGGATAGCTAATGATGGTGCACAGATGAAGCAAATGACAATTTTCACAGAAAGTCCCTCCATTCTACTTGAAAAATACTCCAATAGGTTCTAAACTCAACTTAGGCACAAATTAAATCTAAAAGTGTACAAATAAGACCATTTGCTACATAACGTGACATAACACAAATAAATCTTCACATGCTCATTTATTAACTCAGGTATTTTCCATGTTAGCTATACACAGAAAATTAGAATTAACTTTTCAATCTCTAGAAAATAATTGAAAATGTCCTAAAGACTCATAGGATGTGGGGAGGGTAGTCAGTTATTATTCAACAAACTGTAAGAAACATGTTTGGAATTTGTTCAGAATATGTAATTTTCCAGAAATATATGCCCTGATAGAACATGAAATTGCATGGATACTCACTTGCCAATACAAAAAAAAAAAAACCCTACAATCCTTTAGACTGATTGTAAATTTTAAAAATAACTTTAAAGTACAAATTGCTAAACTTGTTGAGGCCATTTGTACTCTTTCAAGGAATATGAATACATGTACTTTCACTTTAAAAAATTATTTGACAGGCACTCCACTTTATTGTTCATCATACAGTAAGGTGCTAAATTAAGTGCAAAATTTTTCAAAAGTCATATATGCACATCATTGCATTTACTTTCTTTCATTTTCCTTTGAAAGAAAAATCTAAATCTATGCAAATGCATATGACTTTGCTTATTTTTGTCTTCTCTGATGCCTACTCTGATGTCTTCATCTGAAGACCAATTTAGTTGCTTAGACTTTTACTCAAGTAATAAAGACAACCCTCACAGGAAATTCACAGCTGATGCACTCTCCCATCCTTCCCCAATGCCTGCCATGTTCATGCACTCCCAGATTATCACATTGCAGGATCTCCTTGGTGCAGATGCTCATGGCAAGGGTGGCACTATGGCAAAAGAGCAAAAATTGTGCAATTGGAGTAGAGGCCTCAGGGGTGGAGGCCTAGAGCCTCTGAATGATTTTTTTTCCTCTGTGCTTGTCCCCAGTCAAAATTCATGAAAATGTTTAGAGCAGCTTTGTATACAATTTCACAAGGACAGCTGGAGATTGGTCCCTTGTGCCTCACAGGACACAAGCTCTCTTAAGTAGCTGTAGAAAATCAGTTCTCTTCTGAATATAGATGAAGTATCTAAAACTCTTCAGGATTTTAAATGCTCTTTGAACACTTGAGAAAATCTATGCAACGTAACAGCAATCACAAACTGTAATTTTTCCTAGAAAACATACATACATATAAGTATATACATGCATAGCCACATATGCACACATACAAACATATACATAAACCACAATAAGTAATATATGCCAATTTAAATTAAAAGCAAAAAGTTAGCTATTCAATGTTCATTTTGCATTAGGAAATTTGTTTGTAACTTAATTTGATAAGTATCCCACAGTTGCTATTTGATCCATATATAAGAATAACATAAACTTATATCATTAACCACTTACTACACTTAAATGAAGATAATCACGTATCAAAATGTGTTTTCTTATTTGAGCTACCTGAAAATGACTTTTCAATACTTGATGAAGCCACTTAATTCTTAAAATTCACTCATAATGATTTACCAAAATCTACAAATGTTGATAGCTTCCAATGTAAACTATCAATCTAAAGCAGAAATTTATAAACATAGAAATTTTACTAGAGAGAATCTGAAGTCAGTATCCAGGGAAAATTAATTTTAAATGGAACAAGGCAATGAAAGCAAAAAAAGTTTTCATTAATATAAACTTCTCCACAATCAATACACTACCTATCTCATTCTACAGTGGACCTAAAGCATTTTGAAGTAGCTCTGAAATTTTTGAACGGATTATACAAAGAAGTAAAGAAAATATGAACTGTTAATGGAAATTTGTGGAGAAGTTGTCACTTGATTTCCTGGTCATTCTTTATAATGGGTCCCAAATAACTTTCTGATTTCTAATCTTTCTCGCACCATGCTAGGAGGGAGCTAATGATGTTGTCTTACAGATTAAATAAACTCATCAACAGAATTGTCCGATGTTCACAAGCATGAATGTACAAGGATTGTGGGGTATACATGTAGCAGAAATACACTAGCAGAAGACAATCTTGAGTATTGTATTATTGATAGTGTTTCTTTGTTCTCTGACACACTAATAATGGCTCAGGTAAACCAATATGCCAATGTCCTTTTCACCTATCACTAGGGCTGTGTGCTGTTTTAATTATCCACAGTTGAGCCTAGGAACTGCCATAATGTAGGTGGTATGGATGTATGCAGAGATACAGCCCTTGCTTCTCCAAAAATTAGTGTACATCACTGATTTTCAGAAGAAAGGGGGATTAATTGAAAACTGCAGGTCCATTTTTCACCAAAAACATCCCATTCAGTCATTGTTCTTCACCACATTAAATGCAAATGGCCATATTTGTACATGTGGCAAGCATGAGCTCATTCTAAAGTCTTGCAAGATCAGGTTCAGCCAGACCTGGCATATGTGGTCGACATTACATAAACTGCAGTAAATCCCAGATTTGATGATCACAGCTACACAGTAAATGATAAAACAGACCACATCAAATAATGAAAGCATCCCGTTTCCATAAGCCTAGTCTATAAGTAATAGCCACAGGACAGTGAACACAAAATGGCCATTTCATTTCACTGCACAAGTAGCATTAAGAGGTTCTTTGGCCAACAGGCAAGGTATATGCATTAGACTTTAGCATAACAGATCTACTCACTTCAAAAATACAGATAAGCTTAAAACTATTATCTGTTTAACTCCCACAGCCTTAATTTACTCTATCTTCCTCCAGTTGACAAGAACAAGTGAAAATGTTCAATTGTTCAATTAACTGAACAAAATCAGAAAACTGAATCTGACAAAAGTACTTCCACTCTGTGTGCTGAGGCTGGAATTTTCCAATTAGGATATATATAAAAGATTATATATATAAATTTTATATATATATTACTAAGTATATATAAATTATATATATTACTACATATATATAATATATATTACTAAGTATATATAATATATAACTAAGTATATATTATATATACTATATATAATATATATTACTAAATATATATATGTTATATACTTACATATTTAACAGAAATATTGCCAAATCCTTTCTTTTGTTCTAGCCCTACACTGTATTACTGACCTATTAAACTAGGAGTCGGCTGATTCATTTTCTCTACAACTGGCGACTCCGAAATAGCAGCAACCTTTAAGGAATTTTTAATGGAACTAAGCTCCCACATGTGCAAGCTGATGACATGCACTCCACAACAATGCCTGGCAAGCTTATAAAGATTCTTAAGGACAGCCTTCCGTAGGAGAATATACACCCAAGGATCAAAGATTTGATTCCATGTCGCCATTCGAAGAGCAAAGAGTATCGTCTCACAGGTCTCTTGAGAATTATCTCCATTTATTCCTATGTTGGCCATTGTTACCTGGAAAATAGACAGAACAAGGAAATCAATTGAGGTAGACATTTTTCAATCCTTTAGTTTTTTTGTTTGTCTTGTTTTTTTTAACTCAACTACCTATATACATGATATCTATGCCCTTTAAACAAAGTACTGTTATTTTACTGACAGAAACAAATGAATAATAGTGGGAGCATTACTATGATATCAAGTTCACATCAGAACTTCACAAATAATAACATCCATAGTAAGTAAAAGGCGCATGAACAGAACAACCCAAAGCAGAACAAGCATTGAAATGAATCACTGACATTCTCATACTTTGGGAATATTAATTTCAAAGCACATATTTGTGTATTTCAGTAGAAAATAAAGTAGGATGAAGTAAGAAACCATCAGTAAGTTAATTTATAAGTAAATTTAATGCATCTGGTGTTAATTTGCACACAGTATATATCATTGTTCTGGAACATTAGTTTTAGAATTTTCTGCTCAACTACAGTGATATCTATGTCTTCAATTTCATACACCTTCTTTTATCTCTCTCAGAATAGCCTTAACTTGTCAAAAATGTCCCCAATGGCGTGCAATGAAATTCTATAAATGTTTTGAGGATACTTTGTGACTTAATAATACGAACCCATATTTTGATAGCATGTGTTCATTTCCTGACCACTCATGAGTCTAAAGATCATTTTGTATGATTAGTTCCACAAATAGGCCCAGTTAAATGCTAAAAATCACTGAGCCTAGTTCTGACTTGCACAGAAAGTGGTAGTACAGACAAATAAGCGGACTTTTAAGGTATTTTAAATGTAAAAATAAGAAGAATTAACCTTTAGTCTACAGGTTAAGAAAGACACTGTATTCTATATCAGAGTGCCTGAGTTCAATACACATCCCTGGCTTTTAATTCCAGCTTCTTACTAACATAGACACTGGGAGGAAGCACTAATGACTTCCAACCACTTGCAAGACCTGGATTGGGTTTCTGGCTCCTGGCTTCGACCCGACACAGACACAGCTGTTGCAGGAATGAACCAATAGAAACAAGCCACAAGTCCTCCTTTGTGTCCCGGTTCTTTCAGTCTCTCTCTCTCTCTCTGTTATCCTGCCATGAATTTTTAAAAACAAAAGCAAATAACAAATTAACAAAACATGAAACTAAGTACCTAGACCACAGTGTCACCAGAATTTTATTCCTTAAGGCTATTTATAGAGGTACAACATCTAATTATCAGAGAAATATCACGCTGTACACCACCAAAGTCTGTATTTTGAGTCTCAATTCTAAAAGTTTTAATGGAACAATATGTACTAATGAAGGATTCTTTTATTTGTTGAAACTTTAACTAGAAAAAGACTTTTGAAATCCATGCAGATCCCTTGGGAATGAGGTTTTCAAAGGTTCCCTTAAATTTCAATCCCTGGGGAAATAATGCATCAAATACACACCTAAATGTTGTTGACTAAATAAAAACGAAATTAAAAAAAAAACAAACTTTTTTGCACAATAGTACCTCAATCAGATACAGATTCTTGTATTATTGCCTTCTAAATTATACAACATGACTGAAATGAAATGCATCTATGGATTCAGTTCCTTATTGAAGAAAGCTTTTTTTTTTTTTTACTTACCAAATATTTACTGATTAACTGTTTTGTGTCAGACAATGTGCTAACAGTGAATAAAGCAGACAATGTGTATGCCTTGTGGGACTTGGCTGTTTTTTCTCTTTCAAGGACTAATGAATAAGTAGCTCTTTTGCATCACAATTACTAAATATATGTATTTCCTATTATTGGTCATGTTATTTTGAGAAATCCCATGCCAGACAAGACACTAAAAATGCAAATGGCAATGTAGCATGACACAGAACAGCTAGCCCTTGGAGACACACAAATTCAGTGCCTGACTTGGAATAGATATGTGGCACAGCAATTAGGTCCTTATTTGGGATACCCGCCCTCCCTCCCATATGAGTGTCTGCTCTGAGTTCAGCTCCTTTGCTTCACATCCAGCTTCCTACCAATGCACACACTGGGAAGTCAGAAGACAGGACTGAGTGTTTGGTTTCCTGTCACTCATGATGCCAGAGCACCAACTGGCATTCTGGCTCCCCGCTTCAGCCTAGCTCACATTCAATTGCGGGCATTTGAGGAGTGAATCAGCAGATAGAGGAGCTCACTCCCTTTCAAACAAGGAAAATACATACATAAATTTCAAAATGTACAAGTAATGGATTTAATGTTAATGCCATGCACATCTGATTCTCCTCTTGCCCTTGGAAATAGTAGTTTGGTCACCTGCTGTGAAAAGATACTGAGTCCTGAGTTTAGAAGCTTGGAACCAGGTTCTTCTCCAGAACAACAGGCAAGTGCCTTGACAATCATAATTACTCCCTCCATCTTTTAACCAGCACCAGTAGCCTTGAAGAAAAACTGCAGCATGGCCTGGTTTAGAAAAAGCACTGACTATTTAACCACCAGTAAAAAGGTTGGAAATTTCTGTACAAAAATATCACTAGTATATGACTGATCACAAGTACCTTGATAGTATATTATTCATAATGCAGGACAACCTAAGTATTTAATAAAAAATAGATTATGGTAATCCCACATAAAGAAAAAATGTACAGATATCCTTGTTCGTAACTCAGTACTAGCTTTTAAAAAACTGAGTCATTCAGCTGTAATGATTGTGTGGTTAAATTTTTGGAGAGCAGAAAAATGAGAAGGGTCTAATAATGTCTTCACTGGCTAGCTCTAACAGTCTAACAGAGAATTTTGTTGTTGTTTTTTCTTTCTGTCTAACATCACTTTTCTAGAGGGATCATGAATTTATTTTGTAAGGTGTACATTTTCCCCCAAGTATTTGTGGAACTATACTATTTTACTAATAGTTAAAAGTTGTAGGGATTACTTATGCATGCCTACGCGTGTGTCGGTGAGACAGAACTAAAGATGTCAAAAAAAAATTGCCTGGAAAACATGGGCTGTGATAAAACTGGCAGGAGATGTGTGGGAGATGATGTCAGAATGAGGAATGTCTGGGCAGACAAACCCAGTCTGACTCTGACAAACTCACTGCTAGACTCTAGTGACAGACATCACAAGTCTTGAGAGAATTTTGCACTGACCAGCCCACCCAAACTCACATTCAAAACAGCTGTGTGATTCTCATCGCACAGCCTTTCATTTGGGTTCCAAGAAGGACCCAGAAGACAGAACTCAAAGACTATGCACTGTTTTCTAAACTATTTTCCCCACCTTCTTGACATGTTTCAGCGATTCATTTTTATTAATGACCAATAGTCTAAGAAATAGATAAGACTAAATGTTCGATATATCATGGGAAAAACACCAACTAACCTTATGTTTCTAAGACAATCAACATTAAGAGACATACAACTAGATCAAGAAGCGTATTGGAAGGAAAGTTTATGTTCAATGCCAAGTTGCGAAAAGCTGAAGATACAGATTATATTAAAAAAATAACCATTCATTTGGGCCATACCTGTTAAGGTAAACAGAATTACTAATCTGCCAGGCTACTTTACTCAAAAATAACAAATCCACCTTTGTTAAAGTTTTGTTTTGGAAGGTATATTCCATAATCCTGCTCCCATGTCTACATTTCCATTGGCCAGAATCAGGACTGCAAATTCAAAGGCTACTTAAAAGCAAAAGCATTGCTAAAAGTCAAGAATTATGCTTCTGTTCCTCTGAATTTTCACAAGAAAAAAATCAATACAGCAGTGAGTAGTTTTTGTGTATCTACTGTGTCTAAGTATTATATTAGCTGTTAATAATGTGGAGATGAACATTTACAAAAATCATAACATAACAGTTTTCTTATTTACAGGTTTTATTTCTATTTTTAACATTAATGTATAACTTTCTTAAAATTAAATATTTTGATGCTATTGATTCTCCCATATATCAAAACACTTAACACGCAGTAGGGCAATCAACATTTGCTGGAACAAGATGAATGAATGAAGTTCCCATGAGGAGAGACCAAAACAAAGTGAACAGCTACAATATTGTATATTACTGAATCAAGAGCAATTAAAGGCGCTGCAGACACACCAGTTCTCAGGCCCATCATCTCAGCTGCCCTAAGGATGCACAAGTATTCTAAGTTTTGTGGAGCATGGAAAGTTTACTCTTTTACACCTTTTAGATTCATGATGATTCTGCCATACTTTACTTGATTTTTTCCCCATGGTTCTACTGTAATTTACTCAGTTTCTCCCCCTGGTACTACTTTTTCAAAGCAATTTAAGTGAATAATAAATAAAACACTTTACATTGAAGTACCCATCTTTTGTAGTTACCAGGTCACTTTCTAAAACTTCTTTTTAAAGATTTGTTTATTTAACTGAAAAACAGAATTACAGAGACAGGAGTGATACAGAAATCTTCACTCTACTGGTTTACCCTCCAAGTGGCTGCCAAGGCCAGATCTGAGACAGACCAAAACCTGATGATTCATCCAGGTCGTTCACACAGGTAACAGTGTCCAAAGCTCTTAGCTAATGTGCTGCTGCTTTCCCAAGTGCATCAGTAAGGAGATTCCTGTCCTGGCACCCAGGACAGGAAACATCATGTACGTAATACTGGCGTCACAGGGAGTGGCTTTACCTGCTATGCCAAAACAGCTGTCCTCCAATTTCTAGAACTTTACCAATATCTGTTTTCATGTAAACAATTACTTTGAAAATCAAACATGATCTCCATCCAGTCACTGAGTCAGTAATTTTCACACATAATTCCATCCAAAAGTAGAACATTCAATTCTCCTTTCTGTAAACATTGAGGAATACTAGCTCAGCATCAAATTCTTCCAGAAACAAAGTACAGAAACACAAATCGTTGATTTGCAATTTATTTGACCTCTATACCTATATTAAGCTGAGATTATTCTTTAAATTTGGTACTTACATAACCACAGAAACAGAGTTTTAATAATGGTTCTATAATTACAACACAGCTTTATTGTATAATGAAAAGCTTCACCT